CTTCTGGGACAAACACTTTTGGTTTATTGGAATAATGAGCTCAATGGGGTTTTTTTGTAAACTATAAGCAGTGACTCAAGGCCTGTTCTCTGAATAGCTGCACGGCTATAAAGCAGGTCTTAATAGGCCCATCAATTAGCAGAAATGAGTGTTAAGTGTGACCGTTCTTTGACCAACATGTTAGGAACCTCTGGAGCTAAAAGCACTAATGTTTGCAGTTCGAACAGAGGAGTCAGAGGCTGTGAGAATCAAAATGATATGTCATCCTCTTTCAAGCCCTTGTTGTCACTGATTCGATGCCCTCTAGATGAAAAAAGGGACCCATACTTGTACATGATGCTGTACAAGCAAGGAAAAAGGGATTCTTGACAACTGAGGCCTCATTTTGCAGGGCAGCTTGGTGCTTTGTCATGTTTTTATACCCTAAGGAGCAAAGCTGCTCTTGTTGTATACCCACTGCTTGCAGAAATGTAATTTAAGTTGTTGACTGGACAATCCCAGGTAAATCAACATGCAGAAAAAAGAACTGGTAGCGAGGGGAATTATTGTATGTTTTACTTTTTTTCCCAAAAAGTAAAAAAAAAAAAATGCCGTATTTTTAAAACCCTGGATCTAAGGTTGTCATAATTTTGGTGTTAAACCACTAATGAGCTTAGAGGAATGTCAGCTTCCCCCTGGGATTAACTGATGGGTACTCTAACAGGAAGGTGTCAGCCAGATTTCTACTGATGGTGTCTATCCCTTATCCCAGTAGAGAGTAATTAACCAGGAGAGGTATTTTGACCATGGTGTTGCTTTTGAAGCAGATCAGGGAGAGGAGAAAGCTTTTGCAAATACAGAGACACTTCATCCCCTGTGCTATAAAGAATGTTTAAGTGAATTGGCCTTAGTTTAGTCTTACATTGTTATATAGCTACTGACTGTTACCCTCATTTGCAACATTAAGAACAATATTCCATTCACATGTAACAGATGAAAATTAACAATCAAAATGCTAATTTTTGAACCAGACCATATTTTAATGCTGTTTTACTATCTTTATGAAATGTTCTGTCCTGCTCTCTGCAAATGTCACTTTGCAGTCATTTAGGAGTCCAGGATGAGAAATCCATGGCCTTCCTGGGACTCCTGCTGAATTCAAGTTTTCAGTATGCTCGACCATATTTACAATTAATGCATTCTTTTATTTCATCCACTCTAAGTGGCCAACTATCCCATTTCCTGGGAGCTGAGACCAGCAACTGCCAAGGGCCAGTTAAAACATTTAATTCTTTTTATGGGAAGAAGCACCAAAGTTTTGATCCAATACATAATAGTCAAGCAATGATTCATGTTTTAATTGTTTGGAAGAGGATTTCAACAGATCATAAAAGTGACTATGCAAACCTCTGCTTCTTTATGAGTCCTTTCTGGGATATCCTGCTTTTGTACTTTGTCCTCTTGCCAGTAATTCCCCATCTTCCACTTCCAGACTCTTTTAGACACGCTGTATGCTGTGTCTTTGTCAAACCTCTAGCCAAAGTTTACTAAGATGCAGATAAAATGGGGAAGATTTGGGCTGTGGGGTGAAGGGCTGGCATAAGGTGAGATGGGAGCCTGAAGATGGTGGGGTTGGCTACATCAGAGGAATGGTCTAGCTTGTGCTCTCCTGCATTTTGGTTGGCGTGGGATTTTTTTTACTGTTCAGGTGGATGTCCAATAAAATAATAAAATAAAATACATAATTAAAAAAAAACTAAACTAAAAATCTTCATTTGCAGCTAGAGGTCAGAAATCTCCTGAATAGAAACAGTCCTTCAGGAAATCACTCCAATGGCTCTGCTCTATGGCTTCTTCGCAACATGTAAAACTCCTGTACTTTCTGATCATTAACGGAAATGCCACCCTTGGTCTTAATGTGCTCTCAGATTAGAAAGACCCTAACTTGATTAAGGGCCCCAATAACAACTCTTTGCAAATTGTTTGATACTGGTATAGTTATTTTGCAACTGCTCATGAAACAAGCCCCCTTTTCCACCTTATCATCATCTGTGCCACTTCACGGACATCTTCCTGTTTTGCCATATTTTGCTCCTTGCTGCTATTATGTAGTTATTCTGATGATTTCCCCCTTGCACTCTCCCCTGCCTCTCCTTCTGGGGATCCACTCCTGTTTCTATGGAGACAACCCATAAATATGAAGTCTTATCCTTCATTCATTGAGGCCAGAGGCAAAGCTGCTTCTAATTTTGACTGCAGCAGCATATTGCAATCTTTACTGGTATCCTTCCATGGATGTAAAGATGGTTTCCATAAAACACAACACTGATGATTTTCATGAGCATCATGTACAGTTCACAATAAACAGATGGATTCAAAGTGTTGTTTCAGTCTACATTCCTCCAATTTTTCAATTGCTCTTTTCTAGGATAGCACAGTAATAATATTTAGTCCCGTTCCTCTTAAACCTATCTATTTTTAACATGATTGGTGAGCATGCTAAATGAAACCAGTTTTGTTTTTTAAATCCCCTGAGGGATCAGTAGATATCCACTTCTTTTATTGATGTGGAGGATGGTTAAAAGAGGGATTTGCTGTGTTTCAGAGGTTACTTTTTCAATCCTTATTCATTAGGCTTCTAAACATGCGGGATGTGTGTGCAGTGCAAGCTATAGCCAGCAATGGGGGAGGGGAACTGGAATTGGGGAAAGAGAAAGGAAATAGCACAAGCTTAAACAGGCATCAGTTAAATACTGTATGTTTAAGCAAGCCTAGTTAATATGTTACAGGATAATCAGCATTCTAATAAAATTTTTAAAATGAGGCAAATGCCATTGGGTTTTGTTGTTGTTTTTGTCTGGAATATTGCAGGTGGGTTTAAAGTTTGTTAGGGCATTGTGGCACCAAATATTGTCCACGTTCCTTGTAAAATCTCTCTTAAGGAAAAGGCAATTTATAAAATGAACATTTAAAACCAGGGGTTGGAACAAGGCTATCCCAACACTGGCTACCCTGGGAATTAGCAGAACAAAATGGAGCCAAAGGTAATACTGCAATTAATTTCAACCGCAAGTGAGGTATACTTTTATATCCCAGTGTTCTATTCCACCGGGGATATTTAATAGAGGCCTTTTCCATCTGCCCCAGCAGATGCTCTGCTAAATGCCATCCATGGCAAGGAATTTTGTCTGATGCAAAGAAAGAAGACAGGACTCCATTCCTCCATCACCCTCAATTCCACTTGATCAGGTATTGTCTGTGATGATAGCTGGCCTGACTCCCTTCTGGAAGCACAACGGCTGGAATATTACTGAAGGGGGTACAGAAACCCTTTAATACTCACTAACTACCTGAGTAAATATGAAATCACCTTCAGCCCCGTGGCTTTGACCCCTCTTGAATAGCTTGGTTAGTCCATAGGAAGCTGTCTGGATCATGGACTGTCCTGAAGAGGAGGCTAAAAAAAAGTTAAATTATTCTTTTTTAAAAAAGAGGAAAGGCATGGATGGTTGGATGGATGGACACAGGGAAAAATAAAAATAAAACATATTGCTGATGATATACAGTTTTATTAATTATCAATGTTTCTCAGGGTGAGCCCCTTGATCTCCCAGAGGGCTATGCCATATTTCTAGGGGAACACGTAAAAATTTTCAAAGAAGGCTACCTACATTTAACTGCCAGGCATACGATCAATTTGCTGTAATCCTCACATCTCATTCTCTGTGCTAACTTCAGCAGCATAAAACATTGAAAATTACCTCAGTTCATAGTAAATAACATTGCCTATGCCAGAGGTCTCCAAACTTGGCAATTGTAAGATTTGCGGCCTATAGCTGGCTGGAGAATTCTGGGAGTTGAAGTCCACAAGTCTTAAAGTTGCCTTAAAGTTTGGGGACCCCTGGCCTATGCTGAGGTCACAGAAAGTAATAAGGCTCAGAAGCGGGCCACGAGAAAAGAAACAGCACAGACCCTGGTCTGTAGGGCAGAGCTACAAGATGCAAAAAGTAAAGCATCCTTGAATCTAGGGCTGTTTCTGCAATCAGAAGGAATCCATCATCCTGTGTGTCAACTCAGAATATATTTATATTGAAATTGTCTTGTTTAAGAGGCAGATGTGCAATATGCACACCTAAAAGAAAGAGCATGCCAGGGCTGTGGTCACAGTATGTTTGTCAGTCTGCATCTCCAATCTGAAGGAGTGTGGTGGTTATTTCTTACTAACTGCTTAAGTTGTAAACTTAACTTCCCCCACAAGCCCCCAAACTGGAAATGGGAATTTAAGAACAAGAGTGAATTCTTTCTTGGTTCCCAAATGGAGATGTAACAAAGCTGAAAGAATTAAAGGCAGCACCGTGCAAGGAAATGCTCTTTTCGGTGGGTCACCCGTGCTCTCTCTGGTTTTAAAGCCTTGACTCAAAAATAGCCAGAAGTTTTGAAGGATTTTTTTTTTTGCATCGCTTCTGCACACCCTGGAACAATCGCGGCGGTGGATTCAAAAGCGCGCATTGTTTCCCACTCTCGGGGCTGCTCGGGAAAAACCAGCATTCCCCGAGCCGGCCATCCGGCCTTCGTCAGACACGTGTGGGAGGCTTGGACTAAGTTCCGCGCGGAATTGTGAATTTGTGCTTTCCCACTTCGGCCCGGCCAAGCCCCTTCAGCTTAGGAAGGACTGACTTTAACTCAGTTCCCCCTCGGCAGATGATTTCCAGAAGGCCTCTTCTTCCCTAATGGACCTGGGACACATTTTGGGGAAAATTCCAGAACCCACCTCTTCGCCTGCAACTGCGATGAGATGAACCAGCGCCTCCAGGGAGCGGGGCCGGTGCAAAGGCTTAACTCGAAGAAGGCGGGGAAGGTCAGCGCGGCAGCACTGAGGACCCGAGAGCAGAGCCGGAGGGAAGGGGAGGGACGTGGGCAGGGCGCTGGAGACCGGGGGAGGATCTGGGGCGGGAGGGAAGGGGAGGCAGCGAGGGGCGGCGCGCAGCCTGGAACTGCTCGCTTGACTGGCCGAGGGAGCAGCAATCGCGGCGGCTCGGGCGCTGTATCGTCCCAGCCGGGTGGCAAAGAGGATGCGGAGTCCCGCGGCCGCCCACAGCGCCTCAGCGCCCGGCTCCGAAGCTGAAGCGCCCCGGCCACGCGGACCAGGTGGCTGCGCCGGGTTCCGCTAGGGACAGGCAGGGATGAGTAGGTGAGTGGCAGCGGGGGTCGCTGTCAGGGGCCCGCGGGGACGAGGAGCGGGGCTGGGTTGCGGACCGGACGCCAGCTCGGAGGCCGTGCGACGCGGGGATGAGCGATGGGACGAGGAGGCCCCTCCGTGGGACGGGACCTGAAGCGTTTGGGCATTTTCCTAGGGGAACGAGGGTGCGGGGTTGGTTTTGACTTGGTAAAAATCAACGGGTGGGAGAGGATGGTCGCGATGTCTGGATGCGGGTGCCCGAGATGCTGCTCCCGCGAGGACCCAACCCTCCCTACGGGCAGTTCGGAGGCTTCATTGAAGTGGAAAGGAGCCGGTTGCGGTGGAGGATCGGGCGCCGCGTGAGAAAGTGGGGATAGACACGCGCGGGAGGGGGAGGGAGAGGGAGGAAAGCGACGGTCCGGCTGCCAAAGGCCCACGGGGCTGATGCCTTCGGGCTGGGGAGGGGCTGAGATCAGCGTTGAGGAATGCAAGGAGGGTAGAGAAACAGGAGCGGAGGTATTGTGTGTGTGGGGGGGGGAGGAAGCTCGTACGCGTCCGTAGCGCAGGGCCGGTGCGCGTCGAAAGCGGGCTGGGCAAACCTCACACTCGCTCCCCCCCCCCCAAACTCCCCGCAAGCACAACCGTTATTTGGTAGGACGGGTGCGTGTCTCAAAGCATCCCACCCCTCCGGAAGCCCACGGGATCCCCATTGTGCTCCGCGGAGCCTCAGTTTGTTTCCTCGAAGGCTTTTTCTTCGGCGCTGGTACGGGCGGGCCTGGAGGGAGGGGCCTGCCTGCCGCTGGGGCGTAAATCCTGCCCCCACGAGAGCAAAGGTCGCGATTCCCTTCCCTGCTGGTCCTTTGAAAGGCAGTGCGTGTATCTTCGGGGTGGGTTGGGTGCCTGCCGTGGGGTGGGGTGGGGGGGAGGGGAAAGGAGGTGGAGTGGGAAGCCGATCCCACCCTCTGGAAAAAAAAAGTTTCCCTTGCGGGGGGAGTTGCCCAAGGCAGGCAGAGGGGCTGCTTGGGCGCGCCAAGCGGCGAGAAAAGCTTGCAGCGTTGCGGCCCGCGCTTGAAGAGAGAAAGGGAGCTAAAGGCGGGTTCTATATCGGGGGGCAACCCGAAAGCGGTGCCCCTTTGTTTGATGCGGTGACCCCTGGGGGCTCGAGGAGCAGCGTCTCTTGCGGAATTTTGATCCGGCGTGGCAATGGCTCTTGCCTTTTCTGTGGCCTGCCCGGGGTCTCTATTTTGCAGGCACAGGGGAGGGAGGGGCGTTTAAAAGTGGTAGCGCCCTCTCTGCACATACGTTTCCTATTGATTGCCTCCCCCCCCCCCAACCCAAAAGAAAGAAAGAAAATCCCCTCAGGTTGTCGGTTTAGTGAGCTGTCAATTAGCCAAACTTGCGGGCGGCAGGCAGAGCGGCTTCCAAACCTTGTCAGTTTGAGGCAGCGTCTGCCTCATCATCCGTGACGTTTATTTTGCACGCTCCAGAAATGCAACTCCCGGGGCAAGGGACGGGTGGAAGGAAGATCCTTGCTGGACTCTCTGCCCAGGAATGGGGCTCCTTTGCCCATTACTCCTCCCATGCATAAAACCCATTACTCCTCCCATGCATAAGTTGATCCTCGCGCGTTTGTAGCCTTCGAGATCAGACTACCAAAGCACAGGAGAGGAAGCTCAAAACTTCAGGGCTTGCAAGAAGAATCCTCCCCTCAAAACTTGGCTTATTTCAGTGCCTGTAATAGCTTGGCAGGGTATCCTGGCGCTAAGCAAAAGTCTCCTAACTTGGCTGTGAATGGAAGGACAGCCAGTTCCTCAAATTCTTATCCTCTTTTAACTGCAGAGTAACATTACTGGCGTTTCTAAGCACACCTGTATTCTGCTTAGCAATTTTTGTCTGACACCCCCTGGGTGCCTTGAACTACTAGTACTTCTCCCATCATCTTTCAGTGACACGATGGCTAGAGAGGCGGAGTTGTTGCAGTGCAGCTCAGTTTGGCAAGCGCTTTGTTGGGGAGGGCAACTAAATGGTATCCACTCAGATTTCTAATCCCTTTCTTGGTCAGGCAAGAAAAAGAAACAGCATGAAAGCCAACCTTTGGCATCAAAATGTCTTCTCAAAACAGTGACATTGCTTGGGCCAAGCTATTTAACGTGGGTGTTCCCTGCCACTTGTCTTAGCTTCATGTTTCTCTCCAAAAGGATGGGGAGTGCTGAATAATTGAGGGGTGTTGTTTTTTGAGCAAATTCACCCACCTTGTATTAGGTTACAGGTAGTCCTTGACTTACAAGTGAGCCCACATTTTTTATTGCTAAGCGAGATGTTTGTTAAGTGAATTTTGCCCCATTTTATGACCTTTCTTGCCACAGTTGTTAAGTGAATTACCACAGCTGTTAAGTGAAGTTAGTAACACAGTCGTTAAGTGAATTTGGCTTCCTCATTGACTTCACTTGTCAGAAGGTTGCAAAAGGTGATCACATGACTCTGAGACACTGCAACCATCATAAATATGAGTCAGTTGCCAAACATTCTGGTTGTAAGTGTGAAAAACGGTCATAAGTCACTTTTTCAGTGCCGTAACTTTGAATGGTCACTGAAGAAACTGTTGTAAGTTGAGGACTACCTATATAAAGTCTGTTCTGAAATCAAGGAAGATTTGACAGTAGGCTCAATCAGAGATTTATCTCTTTTTGCTGCCAGCATCCTTAAAGCACATAATTCTAGAGCAATTTCTCCCTTTGTTTCTGGGAAGGGTAATTATAACACCAATATCCAGGTTTTCTTCCTGTTTACTGGACATGAATTCTCCAAAGCAAAGGAACACTTACCCTTTTGTTATTTTGCTCATTTTCTTAAGGTCAGCCCTAAGCAAAATGAATAAAAGTGATACAATAAAGCTCTAGTGATATAATATAAAATAACAGTGATCATGAAGCCAATCAAACAAGATTAATTTTACAGAAAGTCTAGTATTGGAGCATTGTAAATGCCTGGGTGAACAAAACATTATGATTCAGATCACTATTTGGATTTATTTTCAAAATGGATAATGGATAAAAATTTAGATGATATGTCACTGCAATAGTTACTTAGTTTTCAGTGCCTCTATTTGCAAATTGCTCCTTTTTGTTTGTTTGGAGAGTTGCTGTCTAATATGGTTGTAACAGCAACCACATGGAAATTTATGCCTTGGATTGTTAAATTATGGAACCATTCAGTTAGCAAGTACACTGATTCAGATTCCACTGATGGAATCTGTTTTGATTGCTTTCTATGTGACTCATGAATGCTGAATATTTAAAATTTAGGCTGCAAGTGTTTAATCAGTAGATTGATCCATAAAAGTGTTTTAGTTGATTTATTGGTGGGACCAATTGTAATCCGTGAGACTCTGGGTTAAGGTCACAAATACCCATTTTTTTTGAAGTGGCTTGCTTCTGATGCATTATGATGGTGTAATATAAAATTAGTAAAGATGAATGAAATCATCTACTGTATGTATTAAATTGAAATGTATTAAGTATGCCTCAGTCCCAAACTTTAAACATATGGCAACTATATTTAAAATCAAGTTGTTGAAAAGAAGATAAAATATTCAGCTAAAATACTCTTAAATTGACAGGCACTTTTTCATTGAAAACAGAAGTAACTGTGGGCACTCTTACTTGGAAATACATTCCATTGATCAGAGTAGGATTTATGGTTGAATAAGCATCCTTAAAATTTGTGTTATGAAGGGTTTTTTTCCCCTTTTCTTCTAAGGACACTAACACAAACATTTTCTGGAGATAGAGGTGGAAGGAATTCTAAAGGACTAGTAAAAAAAATAGACTAAAGATTTACGTTTTGAAAAACATATATCCCAGAGTTTTTGCAGAAAGGATTTCCTGTAATTGGCCCTTTGTTTTTTCAATCCATAACATTTTTGGGAAAGCCTAAATGGAGGCATTTCCCCAATTTTCACCTAGCTCTGAATTCAGCAGTGATCAGTAAAGTGATACATAGAATACAGACTACCCTTTCAACTGAATTTAGCTTGCATTTTATTCAGCAACAAAAAATATTCATCCTTTCTTGTGGTGGCTCTTTGCTTGCAAGTAGCGACAAATAGTAGGCTTTGCATCTTTTGAAAAGATGCGTAGGCCCCATCTTTCTCCTCACATAAACACGCACGCCTGTGTGCTTATGCGTGCACATCCTTGAGGGCAGAAGGAGGGCAGACATTCCTCTCACAGTGTGGATATTTTAAAACTGTAGTCACGCAATCAAAAGTTGCTCAGTTTGTACTCATTTTTGGTTGGTTTGTACTCATTTCGTAAAAACTCACTTCAAGATTTCCTGAAAAATCTTGTGTTCAGTGATATTTTTATATAGGGAGAAATATTTGGGAGGGGTGTGTGTTCACCCTTGGACGTTCCATTGAGTGGGAAGCGGGGGGGGGGGGGGCAACAGATGCTGTTTGTGCAGCATAAACTGCAGAGAAACAGAATAGAGCAGCTCCTCCTGTGTGACTTCTAACTCCACTCTACAGAATTTTTTTTACTAGCAGTCTTTGTCCTGACTCCCATTCTCTGTTGGGGACCCCAGCCACTGTCCGGCTCCCTCCCCCCCTTCCATTTTCCCCCCTTCCCATTATCATTTTGGTTAAACAGACAGGCAACTTGTGTACCATATGGATCATGTTAACAACGGCTTATCTGGGAGCCTTCGGGTTTTCTGCCCCTCCCTGGCAGTTCCTTACAGCCTGTCCTTTTTCGAAGAGCATCTTCGGTGGTTGCCTGCAGAGCCAGTTTGGCCAACTCCTGGAAAGAGACAGAAGAGGTGCACAGGCTTAACTGCTTTCTTCCTGTCTGTGTTTTCTGACCCTTTCTAGTTGGAGAGATTTGTTTTCTGTTCCTCTGCTTGGTTCTCCATGTGGATCTGGTTAGCAAAGAGTCATCAGTCTGTTAAAGCGTTAAATTCATCTGGAAGAGAATAAGGGCAGCCTAGCATTTCCTTTACTTAGCGCTACATTT